CCTGCGGCTTATCTTCCTACCCAGCCCCGCTGCCTGCTGTGCCCCCGGGAACAGCCGAGGGCTTCGCCCACCAAGGCGCCGCTCGGGGCTTCCGTGCTGTCCCGCAGGCCGCGAGCTTGGCTTTTCAGCCCCACATTTCCTGGAGCTTTCAAATCCCGAGAAAAGACCAGGTCAGTGATTCCTGTACTGGTCAGAAACGCACACCGCTGCACGTCTCATTAAAACCCAAGGGCGTTTAGTCCCAGGTTTGGAACACCCAGCCTCAGCCTCACTCAGGGACAGGGGCGGGGACCACACGCCGAGGGCCAGTGCCTACCTCCTGAGCTGGATCCGAAACCAGAGAAGCCGCTGCCACTCTGGCTCCCAAAACCTGGGCTCTGCTGGGACAGGGACCCGAAAGTAGGAGGGTTCTGACCGGCAAGGGTGCCGAAGGACGTGGTGCTGCTGCCGCTCCCGAACCTGGGTTCCGGTAGAAAGGGACCATGATTAGGCGCTTGCCGCCTGCCCCGCCCACTGTCGCTACCTGGACCGCAGGGTGCTCCTGACTGAACTGACTCTGGCTCCGAGCAAACCTTCGCCCGGATAAGGAGGGGATGGAACAAGCGTGAGGCACGAATGCCAACCTGGCCAGGCGGAGCTTTTGTCCACCTGGAGACGGTGGGTCGCAGGGAGCCAGCGGCACTGCACTTCTGGCTGCCTCCACCAATCAGCACTCAGCACGTCTCACCCTCTGAGCATCTCCTGCCATCACTGTCTATAGCTCCTCTCTGACCCAAGGAGCCTGTCTTCCTGTCTGTCTCACTGTGCTGCCCACGCTGGCCTCAAACTCCTGGGCTCAGGGGCTCTTCCAGCCTCAGCCTCCAAGAGGCCGGGGTGTCTGATGTTTCTGCTTCCTCTCAATGGCGAGGCGAAGGGTCCAGGCCAGCTCGCTGCCCTCCAGGGGTCCTGCCTTCCTCAAGCCCCGCTGCTGCCAGGATTCTCCTGGGACGGCCACGCGGGCAGATGCTTCTCAGGCAGTGAGGAAAACAGCCCATTTCCACTCGCTAACTCACTCGACTCGCAGCCTGCCGAAGCCCCTCTAGTTCTCCCGCCCTAAGCCTGCACTGCTGAGCCTGTCGTCTCTGGACGAGGGACTGAGACCCGGCACACGGACCCTGCAGGGCCTTGTGGTGTGTGGCAAGGCTGCTTCCCCTGGGGTTTCGGCAGCAGACGGAGACCTGGGGCAGCCAGCGGGCCGCAGGCCTGCACTGTGGCAGTGGAAGGGGGACGCGGAGGGCCTTACCCAAATCCTCCCGCGCTGGCAGCCGCAGTGCCCTCTCCGAACACTTTGCCTCCCGTCGAGCCCAGAGGGCTTGTAAAGGCTGGGGCTGAACCGAATGCTGGCACCCCTCCAAACCCAGGGGATCCCCCAAAAGTAGGAGGGCTGCCAAACACTGGAGCAGCACCGAAGCCACCTGAGCAAAACAGAGGCAAACAAACAAACGGGGAGGGAGGGAGGAAGGGGAGACAGGAGAGACATTGAGCAGTGAGAAACCAAACCAAAAGAGAAAGGAGAGAAGGGAAAGCCACGTTAGAAATTCACACACAGCTCCAGGCAAGGCCAACACAACCACTGTCCACAAGATGCTCATTAACACAAACAACCCCACACCAAGCCAGTCCCGTTAGCATTGGGGGCCCGGGGCTCCCCATGTTTTCCAGACGCAGGCCGGGTCAGCCCTGGGTGCCTCCAGGGCCTGCAGCCCCACGCTGCAGGGCTTCTCCCCGGGCAGACACACCTGGCACTGCAGCTCCCTCTTGGAGCTGCTCATCACCACGCTGGCCTGACTTCGGGCTTGGAGGAAACCCGACTTACAGAACTTGGGGCCTGGAGCCCCGCTTGGAGGGGACTGAGGACTGGGTCACAGCAGGGCTGGACGTTTACTCCGCATGGCCCACCAGTGCCCCCGCTCCGCTCCACTCCTCAGCAGGCAGCGTGCTGACCTGCTCCCGTGGAGGAGGCCCGGGGGGGCATCCAGTAGCTCAGGGCCAACCAGGAGGGTGCCCGGGTCTGCGGAGAAGGAGCGAGGCCCACAGGCTGGCGGGAGAGGGCACCCGGCTCCCCCTGAGGTTTAGTGACTCCCAGGGCAGGCGCGCAGACCCAGAGGGGGGACCAGGCCCAGAGTGAGGAGCACCCCGAGATGGGCGCTGGCCTGCAAGCCACACGGGGCGGCACAGTGGCCCGGTGACCCCAGGGCAGGATCGGCGAGGAGGCAGCAACGCCGTCCTCTCCTCCTTCGAAACAGGATCTGTCAGAGGGAGGGACCACGGCAGGCTTCCGCTACCGACCGGGACACAGAAAGCTCAGGGATCGCCTGTGCGTGAGCTTTCCCGAGCTTGCACACCCGAGGCGCGTCTGCCCTGGATGCTGCGTTCCTACACCCGAGGGAAGTCCCAGCCCCGTAACGGAGCCCGGTGGGTCACAAGTATAACAGGCTGGAAAGAAAGTGCTAAAAGGCACAGCTGAATTATTGAAGACCGCGTGCAGCTCCCGTTACGCTTCTTCTTAGACACAAAGCGCTTTGCCTAGGGCTTGTACCCAGTGCTGTTTGGCTTCTGGGTGGAAGGGAGTGAAAAATGAGAAGTCACAATGACACAGAGTAAGTGGAGGAGACTGGAGACCAAACCACGCTGTGTGCACAGGACACCCAGGACACATTCGGTCAGCCCTGCTCCACTATGTGGAGCCAGGCACTTGCTCTATTGCAGGAGGCGTTTGGTTTTATTAGCGGATATATTTCTATGATTTTTTTCCTCAGAAGAAACAAATTTACCAATAATCTGCAATGACAACATTTTTGTGTTTTTGAGATAGGGTCCCGTTATACAGTTCAGGCTGGTCTTGAACTCCCAGCGATTCTCCTGCCTCAGCCTTTTGAGAGCAAGGCTTACAGATTGTGCCACCACACCCAGCCAGCAGCAACTTCTCTGCTCCCAGCAGCGGGAGGCGGAGGAGCAGGGCTCCACCTCCACTTCTAACAGTTCCTCCAATCCCTCCTCAGGCCCGGGACAGAGCAGGGGCGTGGTGGGGGCGGCGGGCGGCAGCAGCCAGGCCACGCCCTGCCTGCCTCATCTTCCCGAAGGGTGCTCGACCCTTCAAAGAGCTGGCGGCCCAGCCGCTGGACTCCATCACGCATTGGCTCCGGTGCCAGGCTGGCCGCAGGCCTCACTCCACTCCGCACAGCCCGGCCTGCAGCAGACCCCACCGCCCCCCGCCTCGGCGCTCGGTTCTGGGAATTCTGCACCCCTCTCCAGCGTCTGACAGGCAGTTCTTTCTGCCAAGCCCTCAGCGAGGGGCAGGCACCACACAGAGGGACACCCCAGAAGGGGGCAGACAGAGCTTCGCAAAGAGGGAAAAGTTAAAGCGTCAGATTCTCGATCAGCTGGGATGCCATTCCGGGACGAGGACCCACACGAGAGCCACAGAAGAGGCAAAGACGATACCATCAGGCCTTGAGGGCTAATGACCTGCAGCTCCGCAGGCAGGCAAACGTTCTCACTTGGCTTCTAACCAGGACTGAAAGCCTGTGGCCCTTTCAATTTTCAGGCATGGTGTGGCAGAAAGCTCTGACAAAGTGGCGCTGTCCATCCCGAGCCATTTTAAGCTCGAGGAAAGAGAATCTGGGACTGGCAGCCTGGGGCCGAGACACCGGTCTCACCGGGGAGCAGCCATCCTCCAAGTGCCCCGCAGAGCCGCTTCCTCTGCAGCGGCGCCCCGGCCCCTAGATCTCAGCAGACCGGCAGCGCCTCTACCCATGAGCGCCCCCTTCCCTGCCTGCCCCAGGCTTCTGCACACGGGTCAGGATATCTGTCCCAAATCACCCCTTTAGACTGCTTGCTTGGCAGCGTCTTCCCCTCTCAGCGCCCATCCTGTCCCCGGCCCCTCCTGGCCTCCCTGCACGGACGGGTGAAGGCTGCACCCTCGCCTGAGCGCAGCAGGGCCCGGCACAGAGCAGGCGGCCGAGAACGAGGAACTCGCTCTCCTGTCTCATCAGACCGCTTGCTCCTCGAGACGCTCAGGGGCAAGCACGCAACACAGGACTGCAGAAAAGCACAGGCCTCGTACGTGTGCCCAAAACAGCTCCGGAGCGGTGAAGACTGGTGAACAGCGTGCGTGCGTGCGCCCACGTGTACACAGACTGTCACGGTCACCCCAGAAAGCATTTGGGAAAGGGGCCAGCAATGCAGACATAAGAAACGCGCAGGGCTCTGCATTCCACGCGCTCTGTAGGCGCCGGGCATGTAGCAGATGCCCGGTGAGCCAGCAGCCGCGGGAGCAGAGTAAGCCTCCCGCAGCCCCCCACTTCTGGGAGAGGACCCCAGGCTGCTCCACCCTGTGGCTCTGCAAGGGAATGGGGTGGGTACCTGTTTTATTCGGCGCAGAAAACCCGAAGCCTTGCGACGCCACACTTCCTCCTCCGGAGCTGAAAGTGCCCGCCGGCTTCTGCTCTCCGAAGGACGAGCCGGCAAACCCTCCGAAGCTCTTGGCCCCACTGTTTCCGAACAGGTTAGAGGTATCTGGGGGGACGAGAAAGCGTGTGAAGAGTGTGGTGGGACAGAGTGTCCACCAGCACCGGGGCAGCGGGCACGGACGGGAGGGAGGCTGGGTCTCTCGGACGGACTCCCGCCCTGGAGAGAAGCCTGCTGTCTCTGCGTGAAGGGCGCTGCCAGGCTGGGGAAAGGGAGGCCAGAGCGAAGCAGCCCACACGCCCGCTGCTGTCGGAGCTGCAGGGCAGCAGGGCCCAGGAAGGGCCCGGCAGGACACGCGGAGGCCAGAAGGCAGTGCGTGTTTAAGCTGAAAAACATTCTACACTGAGACACGTTTCCGAGTCACACTCACCCCACTGTTCCCGCTACTCCCCACAGCAGCTGTGGAGCCCTTGTCTCCAGGAGACGCGATTAACAGCGTACTGCATGCTGCAGCCGAGTGCCACCCAGCGCAGAGGCTCGGGAAGGCGACACTGCCCTCACCCCCTTCATTTTCACCAGGCGCGGCACATGTGAGCTCTGGCTCTTCCCCAAGTCAAAGTGAACACGGGAGGGAAGCGACCTGAACCGGCTCAGACACTGATGACCCTCAGGAAAGAGGGCTCCAGAGCTGCTGCAGGAGGCGGCAGAGGCGACGGGACCGGTGTGCTTAGAGTGCAGGCAGGACGTGAGGGGATTCCTGGAAGTGTGTGCATGTGTCTCTTACTGTAACTAAGCAAAAACCCAGCAACCACCATACACTCACCGTGTCTTTCGATCATAGCATTTATAGGCGGCAGTGAGGCTTTTGCTTTGCTTTCTCTTTCTAAGAGGTTTGGTGAAACCTTTCAGATGTTCATGCACTGTGTCCCCTCAACATGCCCCGGAAAAAGGAAGTCACTAGAACGCCGGCAGCGCTGCGCTGTGGATCCCCGGGCCAGGCCTACCTCGCCCCTCCCACAGGTGGAGAGGACGTCTCTCCCTCCCCGCCCATTCCCCAGAGAACCACCCAGCACGAGGCCCTGCAGACCTTGGCCGAGTTCCTGGCTCCGGTTACAGGCCAGGCCTTCACCTCCCCTGCGCTCCCCCTACCTCGACTCCATAGATAAAGGTGCCGCAGATGCCAGCCAGCCCTTTATTCCTCAGAAGGGGCTTTCTCCTGGCCCCAGCTTTATCGTTGTCTCTGTCTTTACTAACCTCCCACCATCACTTCTCACTCCGTGGACCCCTCAGCCACGAGGGCTGTGGCCCTGGAGACCCAAATGGGTGAGTTCCTTTGTTTGTTGCAGAAAAGGCAAACCTGATCAGATAGATATATGTAAACGCTACCAAAGTCATGGAGTCATCGGGACAATACCAACAGCGCACTAAACGGTGCTCTCCTGGGTGGCGGGGGGGCGGGGTGACTCGCATTCCCCAGGGAGCCTGGGTGAGTGTTCCGTGAAACTGAACGCAGTGGAAGCCCAAAGAGACGGGCCTAGACACAAGGTGCTTGTAGAGCTTGCTCTTTTCATAGCTAGAAGAAAGCATTTTGATTATTTTCAAAATGAAAGAGACAGGTTTACTCTGACAGAACGTCACACAATGTATCAGAAGCCTTTCTGCTGCTGGGACGAACACCTGGCAAACAGCCCAAGGAGAAAGGGCTGCTCCGGCTGGCGGCTGCAGGGCGGGTTTCAGCCATGCGGAAGGCCGTGGTGGAGGAATGCGGCTCACCTCAGGGCGGCCGGGAGGCTGGACAGGGACAGCGGGGAGAGGAAGGGCCAGCACCAGATCCAGCCCCCAAAGTCATCTACCCAGACGCAGGCAGCTCTCAAGCCAGGCAAGATAAAGAACACACCGTCTCTTAAGGTCTCTGGAGCACTGTGGGCTGAGTGAAGCTGAGCCTGGCGGGCTGATCCGGGTGAGGTTCCCTAACAGCTGTGGGACCTTGGGGAAGACCTAACCTTCCCGGTCCCAGGCTCCTGCCACAGCCCCGGGGCAGCACTTGTGCCCATGAGGCTGCTGCTGGAAGCAGGAGATACTGAATACAGAGCGTCGGCTGAAGGGGCCTCTCCCCTTTGGGGCCCTCGGCTCCTGCCCTTCCCACACTGTGGTCCTGCTCAGGGTGACACAGAGCAGGATGGCTGCGGCCAGCGCTCACTCCAGCTGCTCCGAGGCTGGGTGGAACAGGGCCCTGCTCGCCATTTCCATGCTCAAGGGTGCTTCTCCCCTTTCCCTGTGGCTGTGAAACAGCAGCCTCTACCCTTCACAAATCCAGCACCCTGGCGGCTGGCGTCTCAGCACGGAGGTCCTCCTCACAGCCTGCACCTCGGGCTGCTCAGAGCCGTAAAACTGGCACCTGCCTGGGCTTCCGGTCTTTTGTCTGCAGACCTCGGGAACAAGCACCTCTGCAGCTGGTCGGGTCTGACACACGGTGGAGGCCAAACCTGACACGGACGGTGCCAGGCCGGCTTCCGCCTCTGCAAGGTGCCCTCCTAAGGGACAGCTACAGGGCAGGCTGGGGACCTCAGGGGGTCGGCAGGTGGCTTCCTTGGCCCTGGCACAGTGCGTCTTTCAAGATCCTGAAGAGAAAGCCCATGATGAGAAGGTCCCAGGGACGCTGTATCAGTACCGCCGGGGCTGTCTCGGAGACAGACACCGCATGCAGGGGTGTAGGGGAAGAACATGCTGACGCCGGGCAACAGTGGCCTCAGCTTGTCGTTCTCAGTCATGGTCACGGAAGAGAACCGCCTGCTTCCTACCTGTGCCGGTTCCTGGGAGGCGGCCCAGGCCCGGGAGGGTCAGGGCTCAGAGAGGGACCCTGACTGAACCCTGGTGAGGCTTCTCAGTGCCCTGAGACCTCTGTGGACTTGGGGACAGCCACCGCTGCAACAAGTGGCCAGCCGGAGTCCCACAGCCGGCAACTAATCCAGGCTTGCTCCCTCCTGTGGGTGGCTCCAGGGGAAGGGGAGCAAGTGGGGCATTTCCAGAGAAGGAGCTCGCCGAGGCCCAGCGGGCGCTCAGGCGAGGGTGCGGCCTTCACCCGTCCCTGCAGGGAGGCCAGGAGGGGCCGGGGACAGGATGGGCGCTGAGAGGGGAAGACGCTGCCAAGCAAGCAGTCTAAAGGGGTGATTTGGGACAGATATCCTGACCTGTGTGCAGAAGCCTGGGGCAGGCAGGGAAGGGGGCGCAGACCGGCAGGAGCCAGGCGAGGAGAGTGGAGGCGGCTGGAAGGAGGTGGGAGAAGTGGCGCTCATGGGCAGGGGCGCTGTGGCCACTCACGGAGGAACAGCTGCCGCCATTGACTGCAGCAGCACCACTGTGGTGGTGAGCACGAAGCCCCGGGAGACTTCCTGTCCACCTCCTCCAGCGTCCCCTCCTCTCCCGAGTTGGCTCCAGGCTTAAAGAGATTTGTGTTTTCTCACTATGAAATCTTGCATCTAGGTATGGAGGACACTTCTAGAGCTGTCCCCGGTGGCGCCTGTGCCGTAACCCAGCTACTCAGGAGGCCGAGGCAGGGGGACTGCCAAGTTTGAGGCCAGCCTGGCAACTTAGCAAGACCCTATCTCAAAACAGAAAATAGAAGGGGCCGGGGATTTAGCCCAGTGGCTCCACTGCCTGCCTTGCAAGGGCAGGGTCCCAATTTTGATCCCTCGTACCAAAGAAACCCCCCAACAATGACAACAACAAAAAAGAATGAATAAAAACAAAAGCGGTATACTTAAAACAAAAACAAAAACAGAAAACAGAAGGGGCTGGGGCCACAGCTCAGGGGCAGAGCCCTTGCTTGCCTCACATGTACAAGGCCCTGGGCTCCATCCCCAGGTCCAAAATCAACAAAAAGAACAACAAGCACGCACTTGTAACCAGATGGGAGCATCAGAGACAGTGAAGGGCCGTTAGCGCCCCACCCTTCTGGGGACAGGTGTGGCTTCAGCTGCCGCAGACTCTGGGGAGAGGCCACTCTGACGGGGGAGAGGCCACTCTGACGGGGCAGAGCCGGGCAGCAGAGACGGACTGGCCAGGGACGAAGGGTCTGTGCAGGGCACGACGTGCTTATGCCCACCACAGGCCCGGCCAGCAGCACACAGGTAATACACAGCCGGGTGAGCCCACTTCTAGCGAGCTTGCTACCAGGTACTCGCTCTAGCAGAGCCCTGGTCTGGCCTAGCTCTGGAGCAGCTGCAGAAGGACAGGCTGTCAAAGTCGGAGCCACTCCGAGCCCTGCCGTGCTCCATGACAGCTGGGAGGCTACCCAGCGGCCCTCAGGGCTCCTGGCCCCTACTTCCACCTGGACCCACTTCTGCTTGACTCATCAGGACTCCGCCCGAGAGTCCACCTGCAGAAACAGGTTTGAAAACGCTGACTTGATTTCTCAGGTGCCTTCACCCCTCTGTGTGAATCCCTGCTGGCAGGCGGGACTGCAGAGCGGAGAGGCACGTGGCACACAATCCTTCATGTCCTCCTGTGGGACGGGGACAGCGAGACAAGTCGCTCTTGGCCTAGGGGTCCCAAAGAGCCGATGAGGGTGGAGAGCCCCGCATGTAACCGCAGAGGCCCCACCATGGGCGAGCCCGCCACGATGGTGAAGGGCGCCGTGCGGGACCCTCCACCTCACACGGGAGGCACCACGGCCGCCGGGCCGAGGACTGGGAGGAAGTCGGCGGCGAGCAGACGGGGCCTTCCAAGCCTAGCACCATCTGCAGCACAGACACATCTTTAAATATATACTGGACGATTCCAACAGATTTCTTTCACTTCCAATCATGAATATGCAACAAAGAATCTCAAAAACGAGCTGGAGAAGTGCTAACAGATGACAGGTTCAGATGCGAAGGACCCAAACGCAAGTGAAGAGAAACACTAAGCCCTCAATTCCACGCAGCCGGATCTCTTGGCGGTCAGACGCCGCTGCTCCAATGAGCCCGGCTCCCCTCCAAGCGCACGGCTGGTGTGGCTGCTCCTTCCTTTCCGCCCGTCTGCTCCAATTCACTCCGAGTCACTCCGACACTAAGTCAGAGCAGGCTGGGCCTTGGAGGAGAGGGGAGCGCCTGACTGCACAGGCACCTCACAGAGAGGCCTAAAGCAGAAACAACCCAAACCACATCTTAGCATCGTGGGGCAGGTACTGAAAGTAAAGGGGCCTTCCAGATCTTGTCCTCCCGTCCCGTACTTGTCCACGAAACCTGGATAATGTCCCAAAGAGGGCCATGGCACCAGGGGACCAAGGAAACTCTTGTCACTTACTCGGGGCGGCTGAGGATCCAAAGCCTCCACTGGTCGAGCCGAATGGATTCTTGTTGGCTGCATCCTGGCTGGGTTTCCCTCCAAGGCCACTGAAGAAGCCTCCGCCCCTTCCGGTGTTTCCAGACCCGAACAAGCCCCCGCCAGAAGTGGATGGCTGTTGGGAAACAAAAGGGCAGGAGGCGGGAGAGGATGCGGGGGTGCAACCTCCGGGGGGAGCCGCACTCCGCACTCCGGTCTGCGGGGACTCCCACTGTATCTGCCCTGCTCTGCAGTGCCCAACTCAACGCCAGAGGCAGGAAAACCAACCCAGCCGAGCGAGCGGCTGGATAAAGCCTGGAAACTCGGGACGCCGGCGAGCAGACTCCTCAGCCGCGGAGGGTGCGACATTCAGTCACCACTCTCCACGCAGGTGCTCACCTCTCACAGTGACTTTCCCAGCACCGCAGGAAGCTTGCCTGAGTGCCTGCGGGTGGCCAGCCCAGGGCCAGACATGAGGCCGGCAGAGCGAGCATGGCTGCCTCGGTGGAGAGGGGCTTCCCCAGCGGGCAGGTGGGTCACAGGTGGGTCACAGGGAGGGCCTGGCAGTCACCGACCACCCACCTCGAGATGCTGAGCCAACTAAAGGAACCTGACTCGCGACTTCGCATGGTGACCAGGCCCTGGCCACTGGCTCGCGTTCTAAGTGCTTCGCAAGCAGCCATGGAGCCCACACTGGTCGCTCTGGCTGGGGCGGGGCTCTTGGCCTCACCCAGCCCCTAGCAGCTGGCTTCAGACTGAGCACCTCTCCAGGACTCTCTCCTCACCCTGCCCTGCTGCAGTGCTGCAAACTCACTTAGGAAGGTGCCTGGTGGCTTCTCTTTTTTCTTCAACAATAGCTGACCACACCCACTTGGTGAAGCACGAGCTTTTAAGACTAGGAATCAAATCACAAGGACAGGTCCCCCGCCTCTGCAAGGAGGGACCTGAGACAGCATGCGCGCACGAAGGACCAGGTTATCAGCCGACGTCCATCCGGCAGCCCACGCACTGGAAGCTGCCTAGTGACGGCCGCCTCGCCCCGAGAACCCAATACTCAGGTGGCTCAGGCTTCGTTCACACACGATAAACGCTGGCTGTCGAGAGAGGGCAGACTGACCACACCCTCGTTTGCAAAGAAGGTGACCGATAGTTTCTGAGCCTCTTCAATGGGCCAGAGAACTTCTTTCATTTTACTCGAAGTAGGCAACACTTAAAAATCATAGGAGACTTCAAAAATACCCAGAAAATCAGTACTCCCGTAGTCTCGCTTTGCTCCTAAACTTCTCTATTTTCTTTTTTACTTCAATCACTAGATTTAACCACAAACTTTTTTTTTGGTACCGGGGATTGAACTCGGGCCCTTGTGGTTGTGAGGCAGGTGGCGGCACCACTGAGTCAAACCCCAGTTACTGGATTTAAACTTCAGAGGGAGACAGCTCTTTCAGCTCCTGGCCGCTGAGATCCCGTGTGGTGGTTCTGCAGTATTCCCTATAAATCCCCATCACTGCAGCCCTCACCTAGTTCCAACATCCAGGTCACCTTCTGCTGATTTAAACATCTGACTGTGGGTTGGCTCCTGGCCTTCTCTGTGGTTCTGTCCACTGCCGTTTCCACGCCTCTGTCTGTGCGGACACGGGTACCTGGGAGACAGCGGACTCTGCAGCCCAGCAGTGCTGCCCGAGAGCACTCAGGCTTCTCCTCCCCAGGCGGGGCAAGCAGGCGGGCTGCACAGACTCACTGCCCCGCTGGCAGGACAGGTGTGGGCAGAAGGCATCGCGCTCACGGCTCAGCTCACGGGTGAGGGCTGTGGGCTGTAAGCGTCCCGGCCGGGAGCCTGGTGGCTGGGTTCCACGGCCAGAGGAGGATGTAAGCAAGCGCTCCCTGCTTTTCAGGCTGCCCCTTCTTCCTCTTTAGTGTCAGTGAGAACGAATGGTGGCAGGCGTTCATGCCCCGCACACTGCTGTCCGACACACAAATCTTTCAGATCCCAATCTGATTTGTTTGAGAAAAGGGTCTTGGTGTGACTGTAGTTCCCTCAGGAGCCCCAGGCTGGCCTCAAACTCTGGGTGATTTCCTGCCTCGGCCTCCTCAGTGCTGGGATGACAGGCGTGCACCACCACACCCAGCAAACTGATTACTTTTCTGGTCAACTATGTAATTTATATACCATACGATACAATACACTGATTTCAAGGAGAAAACTCAATGGCTTTTAGTATTTCTACAAATTATGGTAAAATATATGTAAACATAAAATTTGCCATTTTAACCATTTTTGAGTGTTCGGTCCAGTGGCATTAACTGCATTCACAATGCTGTGCAAACATCACCACTATTTCCAAAACTCTTTCATCACCCCAAACTGAAATTGTGCAACTATTAAGTAATAACTCCCCAATTCCTCCCCTTTCAGTCGCTGGTGAACACGAATCTGCTTTCTGTGCGGGTGAATTTACATATTCCAGACAGTGCTGCACAGTAGAACCATTCACTATTTGTCCTTCTGTGCCCTGCTTACCTCACTTGCCACAGTTTTCAAGGTCCCCCTTTCCTGGCCGTGTAATACTCCATTAAGGTACACATCACATCTATTTATCTGTTCGTCGGTGGCACCTGTTCATCTGTAAAACTTTCTCGATTTCTCTCTGTTCTTTAAAGCTATTGCTTGCTGGTGTAGTCTCAGGCACAGGCTCTTGCTCTCTTGGCCATGGTGAAGAAGCCACAGCTCAGAAGATGGGACACAGCTGTGGTCAGCAGGGGCTTCTTGGCAGGAAGCCAGCCTCCCCTCTGGTTCCTCTTAGGCTTCTTTTTTTGGTTTTGTTTTGCAACAGGGTCTCACTATGGAACCCACGCTGGCCTTCAGCTCCTGGCAATCCTCCTGCCTCAGCCTCCTGAGTGCTGGGATTACATGTGTGCGCCATGCCCGGCTTTCCCTTAGGTTTTTATCTCGGTGGTTCTGCGCTCACCATAACAGGCCTTAGCATAATTTCCTTTTATGTGCTCTGTTTGGCATCTGTTAGCCTTCTGAATCTGTGGGTTACTTTTATCTACTGGTTTGAAAATTTCATCTTTTTCTCTTCTAATAGTGCTCCCACGTCTTCCTCTTCTGAACCCTGGTTAAATATGTGTCCGATTTTCTCTTAGAGGATTCCTGTTCTCCATTTTATTTTCTATCCTTTTTGCTATCTATCATGCTCGTCAGATAACCTAACTTCTAGTTCAAGGGTCAGCAAAGCTCAGGGACTAGACCCTGCCCACTGCCCGTGTCTGTAAATAATGCTTTACTGGCACAATCCCAGGCCCTTCCTGGGAACTGCGTGGCTGCTCCTGTGTCAGACCACAGCTGAGCAGCCCGCAGCCCTCGCTCCGCAGCCCTGCTTCTGCTATCTCTGCTCTGCTCACTTGGGTCTCAACTGCCCTTCAAACACATTCATGACATCTTCAGTTTGAATTTTTAAATTATTTACTTTTTTCCTAGCAGTGCCACTCATGTTTTTCAAAGTTGCTACAGCACTTTGTGATTTCCTATTCCTAACAGAGGTTTTCAAGTTGGTCTTTAATTTCTATTGGCAGTGAGCCAGCGTCCTGCAGGTGTACTTCTGAGATTTACTCAGCCGCGTACTCACAGGTCCATCTCCCTGGGTGGCTGTGGAAATGGAATCGTGGGGACTGAGGTCCTTGATGATGCGCCGTAAGAATAACACGAGGCCTGAGGAAAGTCCCTGTGCCTTCCAGGGGGCTGTGCCGCCTCTGCCCAGCTTCGGCAGGGACCACGTCAGGCCACGCGCAGGAGCCCAGCCCCGAGAATCGCGTCCCAGCTCGCTATGGGAAGTCTCCCTTTTGGATTTCCTACTTGGTGCATATTTTAGTGGGTTCTGTCCTTTTCTTCTTGGGGCTACTAAAGATAAAAATTCACATTTTCTCAGGTTACTAAGGGTCCTGAAGGCAGAACTGTGCCACACTTTCTCCCAGGCTCCTGTTTTCCACTTCATCTGGCTTGGTAGAATACCTGCTAGCTTATCAGGGCTTCCCACATGCCAGGGGTTTTTGCTGTCTTTGGCAGAGAATTGCTCGGAGTGACCCAGGCTTCCATCACCAGCAACTGGAAGCCAAAGGTTTCACTTCTGTCTTTTAGAGATCACCTACCAGGGTAGAGCCCACCTAAGGAAACAGGAGCTGCTAAGAAAACCTACTGACGACAAAGTGAAAAGACACGCGGTGCCTGCCACACAGGTGCCCACAGGTTGTTGCTGGTGGGAACCTGGCCTGGGGAGTTCAGCGAGGGGCCACGCATATACCTGGGCTCTCTTGAACACTCTGTTTCCCTCCCTTTTCTTTTTCAAGAACTTGCAATCAAACAAGGCCTGAGGACTTAGCCTGGCAGCTGCTGGCCTAAGAGAACAGGCAAAGGAGGAATCAGACAGGGCTGGATGTCCCCAGAGGTCTGCCACGGAGGCGTCGGGCCAGTGCTCTGATTCTCTCTGAGCGGAGGAGGACACCGTGTGTCTCTGGGGCAGCTGAGGGGTCACCGGGCTTGGATATACAGCAGGAACTGAAGACTCAGGCTGGGGGAAACGGGCTGACGTGGACGCGGACAGACACAAACATGCAGATTTACCTGGCCGAAGAGGTGCCCGCCAGTGCTGGCTATCTGATCAAACAAAGAACCGGTGTTACTAGATCCAAAACCTGGGGAACAGGAGAAGACAGTGGTTCAATTTGGATGAGACTTTCACAGGGGCAAAGCATTCTTTCTTTTTAAAAATGGTACTCAGGGGCCAGGAGGGATTTAGCTCAGTGGTGCTGCCACCGGCCTGACAAGCACAAGGTCTTGTGTTTGATCCCCAGTACAAAAAAAAAAAAATCAAAAAGTGGTATTCAGGGGTGCAAGGTTGGTTACTTCTCAGTAAATCATCTTAGGAGTGAAGCTGCATCCCCATGTAGGAAATGGAGAAAGCTGTGTGTCTATGCGGTGAGCTGCTCCCCGGCACCTCTGCGAGGGAATACCACGTCTGAGAGGCCCTGACTGTCCTGGCGTATGTGCTACACATCGCTCCCAGCAGCTTGCGTACACTGCCTAGCGCCATGTCGGTGCCACCAGCAGCTGCTGCACTGTACTGTTTAGGGACCAAGGACCGGAATACAAGTCCACTCTCGTGCAATATGTTTTCTCGGTGGTGCCCACCACACAGGTGCAGAGCCGACTGCACTTTTTCTAACACTGAAAACTCACAGTCCCAAGTCCTGCGTCCTCCTCCCCTCCAGAGGGTGGAGCCAAGCTGGTTCACTCGGAGAAGCTCCTCCCAGGCTCTTGCTCACAGAGAATTCTCAGCTTCTGCACATCAAACACCAGTCTTTCTGGGCAGCTTTTACACAGGTAATGGAAGATGGCCCCTTTGGGGTTGTGAGGATGCGCCTCAAGTTCTGGCTTGAGCAGACGCAGCCAGTGCAGAGCCTCGAGCTCCCGCCACAATTCTGCAACTCAATCAAGGCCCGAGGGGAACCCTGGACTGTTTCTCTTTTCTCCCACTGGGTCCTTACAGAAAGATCACAACATCTGTTGAAAGGAAACCATTTCCTTTCCAATAAAATACAAGCCATTCTCAAATACATCAATGAAGAAATTAATTAGCAGCTATCGATAATCTCGGTTTTCCCCTGGAGCCTAACAAGTAGCCAATTCCCATTCCTGAGACCCCTCCCCATTGGTAGCTTTTAGGAGGAAAAGAAGCTATTAAAATTGAAGATGCAAAGGTGGACTATCAAGTTTTCTTTCAAAAATATTAGTAAAAGTTTTTGTTGTTCTCAATCACAACAGTAGAAAGCAGAGCCAACTCCCCAAACATCAGGCATCTGCCAGCTGGCAAGATGGCATCCAAGAGAACACGAGGCCAGAGGCTTCTCCCAGGCTCCTGCAGGCTGCGCGGCTGGGCACGGTCAGTCACTCCCGACCTGAGCTGGAGCTGCCCGGGTTTGCCCTGTGGTGCTGGCACTGGGGCAGCCAGCGGAGCAGGGAGCTTGCCGACGTGGCAGAGCCAGCAAGGCCAAAGCAGCCCCTGAGGGCCCACATTTTCCTCTTCCTAAAGGTTAGTTTCGATGCTTTGGTGTTTTTTGTTTTGTTTTTTTTTTTTGGTACCAGGGATCGAACTCGGGTCCTTGCGCTCACAGGGTAGGCGGCAGAGCCACTGAGCTAAATAAACCCCCAGCCCTTTCTGCTCTAATTACCAAGTAACACAGGTTTCCCGCAAATGTTTTGATGAGCAGAGGGGACCAGAGCATACCTGAAGCTTGACTAAAGCTGAAGACTGAAGGTGCGGCTGTGGAGGTGGTGGCTGCGGTACCTCCGAACATAGAGCCGCTCTGCCCAAAGCCAAAGGCAGGAAGGTTGCTCTGGCCGAACAGCCCCACTCTGGTGCCGGCAGAGGACTGCCCGAAGGAGAACGAGCTGGCGCTGCTGGTGCTTGATGAGGCCCCGAAGAGGCCGCTGCTTGTGGACGCAGGGGTGGCGGCAGGCTGGCCGAAGGCAGGCACGGAGCTGAACCTGGGCTGGCTGAAGGAGAAGCCGCTGGCGGGGGTGGTGGTCGCCAGGCCGAAGGTTGGAGCCTGCCCGAAAGCCGGCTGGCTGAAGACGGTTGGCCCCGAAACACCAAAGCTTGGGCTGCCAAACCCTGAGCTGCTGACCTGAGGTGCCGTGGTGGCCGTGCCGCCTGTCTGCTGCCCAAACAGACTTGGTGCTGTGCTGGCCGCCACCTGGCCGAACACTGGGGCGCCAGAGGGGGCCGTGGCTGTGCTGCTGGTGAGCTGGCTGAACGCTGAGCTGGCGCTGGCGGCAGGCGGCTGAGTGAAGACAGAGGAGCTGGAGGTGACGGCTCCAAACACCGCCGTCTCTGCAGTGGGGCCAGGAGCACTGCTATCAGGTCTGGAGGTTGAGGTGGCGTCCACAGCTGCAGGGCCAGCGCTTGGAGCTGTGGCGGCAGTGGCAGCAGCCTGCCCGGGTGCCGTGAAGGAGGGAGTGGAAGATATGGCCTCTGCCTTGCCGTCAAGGGCCCTGGGTGCTGACGGAGCAGTCCCTGGAGGCCCTGGCAGACTGGCACTGGGTGTTGCGGGGCTGGGGCTGCTGGCTACCGGCTGCACAAGAATGGGCTCCTTCTTCACGGGGTCGGAGGCCTGCAGGGGACCTTGCGGGGGCTGGGCGGCCTGCGCCTGTACAGGAAGTGTGACCGTGGACCTGGAGCCCTCGCTGCTGCCTGGCTTCTCAGGCGCAGCTGGTGACACGGCCTCCTCTGTGCTCTTCCCAGAGTACGCGGGCAGGGAGGGTGCAGGTGCTGTGCTCAGGAGGCCACTGAAGGACAAGGTAGGGAACGATGCTGGGAGGGGAGCGGCTGGCGTCGTCACTGGGAGGGTGGGCGACAGTGCAGTGTCGCTGGTCTGTTGGCTTCCAAAGGAAAAGACGGCCTTGCCGCCACTCAGTGATGCCCCACCAAAACCCACCGTGCCAGAGGGTCCCCCGCTGGCAAGTGGCAGGCTGCTGAAGACCCCCGCCGAGGGACCGCCTGTGCCCACGCTGGTGCTGGCCAGTGGCACTGCAGTGCTGGCGCTCAGAGCAGAGGTTGCTGGGGGCTCCGCAGGCTTCCCAAGCATGGGAGAGCTGCTGAAGCTAAAGCCGGATGCCGTGCTCGGAGTCTTGGCTGGCTGTGCCCCTGCCAAGCTTGGGGACGGAGACTTGTTGGCTGACTTTGCAGAGTCCTCCACTTGGCCCACACGAAGCCCTGAGAAGCTTCCCAGCGTCTCTCCGGCCAAAGAAGTGGGGAACAAGAGCTCTCCCAGCTTGGATGGTGGGGCTTCTGGCTTGCCAGTGGGCAGTGGGGATCCAGGGGGTGCCCCGGGCCTGCTGCCGGAGGGTGGGGGCTCCCACAGGGAGGCAGCTGTCCTTGCAGCGCTGGGGGCTGGCACGAGGCCTGAGGGAGTGGCGCTTTCGGGGACCGTCTCGTGGAAAGGTTTGCTGCCCCCACTGAAGGTGAGTGTGTTGAGCTGGTTTGAGTCTTTGGTGGGAGATGCTGCCCCTGGCAAGAGAAAGAAACTGGGAATGATGGCTGAATTTAACACACCCAAGGGCTACGCCTCATGCCGCACTCCGTGCCTCTGGGTCTTCCCTGAACAGGGCACAAAATGCCAATCCCCAGATCATCTTTTTTAAATACACTTACTATGGCTCTACTAAATAAACTATTTTATCACAGATTTTGTATTGAGTTTCTGGTTTTGGATGTCTGTCTTTTAAAGTGTCAATTAAAATACTTACACGGATTTACTACTGCATTTAATTCCTATTTTAATTTCTTCCTGTGGTACTGGCAAGCACTCTAACACTGAGCTATATCCAGAGCTCTTTTTATTTTGAGACAAGGTCTTGCTATAAGTTCCCCAGGCTAGACTTGAACTTGTGATCCTCCTGCCTCAGCCTCCTGAGTAGCTTGGATGACAGCTGTGCATCTCCACACCCGGCTCCCTGTGATTTTTTTTCAGCCAGTACCAGGGATTGAACTCAAGACCTTGTGCTTGCCAGGCAGGTGCAGTGCCACTGAGCTAAATCCCCGGGTAAGTTTTTTCTTCCTTCCCTATGATTTTTTTTGGTACTGGGGAGCAAATTCAGGACCTTGCACTTGTAAGGCAGGCGTGTGGTGCTACTGAGCTAAATCCCCAGCTAAGTTTTATTTCCTTCCCTAAGATACTTGACAATGACTTTGTTCCTCTCGAATCTTTTTCTGTCCAGAATTATTCTCCCTCTAGAGAGCGAGAAGAGGGAAATGGTGGGCCGAGGGTATTCTGCCACACCTAAGCAGGCAAAAGTTGAAAGACAGCTGAAGACTATCTGCTCTACAAAGAAATGCATGAGGTCACCAAAATTTTAAGGAGCATGATGAGATCAGGCTTACAATGCCTACTCTGCTCTCAGGCCCAGGTGTGAGGAGACCTAGGCCACTGGGAACCACCACGTGGGTGGGCACAGAAAGCACATTGGGACTGTGTGTCAGCAGGATGTGGTGGTGTGCATCTTACACTGTCAGCCAGTGTGGAGGCTGAGGCAGGAGGACCACCTGAGCCCAGGAGTCCGGCCAGCATGGACAAGACCATGTCTCCTAAATTAAAAAACTAAAAGCGTTTCTTTCATTTGGGGTTTAATGTGGCTTTGTGTGTGTGGTACTGGGGATTGAACCAGGCCTCACGTGCTGTGGACAAGTGTCCTACTGCTCACTGGGCCATGTCCTGACCCACAAAGACTTGCTGATGAGAGAATGAAAGATGGCCAGACAGACAGGGCAGCCTGGAAATGACCAACAGCTGGACGGTGAGAGAAGTGGAGGACATCAAGGAGACAGAATTCCGAAGCAACTGAAAATGACGCTCATACAAGACTTCTGATGCTAGAAAATTCACACTCAGGAAAGCAAGAAGTAGACAAAATTCCCAGTAGAAAATGGAACCACAATTACTGGGGGAGCAAAGCGTGATTCTAACATCTCTTAAGCCTTTTTATTTCTTTATCTTCCTCAATAAGAACACATTACTTTTAAAATAAAAGCTTGCTTTTAAAATAAAAATTAAAAAAATTTTTGAAAGGAAAGCAGACAAAAAAAAATATATATACAATCTAAAACAAAAACTAATTAAAATGAGAACTGGAAGGTACTTAAGAAACAGGCATTATTTTTCACATGTTCTCAAATTGTTGTAAGCATTAAAACCATGTGAATTCTAAAGAAGGATCAAGTTGTCATCTGTAGGACAACAGGAGCACCTGAGACCGTAATGTGAGTGAAATACAGCAGACACAAAAGCGTAAATGTCACCTGGTTTTTTCTTATAAGAGAAAGCCCAAGTATAAAAAAGGAGCAAACACGTGCTCCCGGATGGGTCTCCGACAAGACGTGTGGCCAGCAAGTTTGCAAGTTTGGCCTCCTATTTCTGTGTCACTGTGTGTCATCCTATAGAACCACTCTGCAAGCTGATGATACTAAGGTACGCGGACAAAGAAAAAAAAAAAGGATAAAGAAATTTTAATTCACACGTTAACATTCAAATTTAAAGCACAGCCTTGACTTTCCCTGTCTTTAATAGGGAAATAGAGAGAAACCCTTCACATCGGATTCCTAAATGGAGCCTTCCTTCTCTTTTGCAGTGCCGGGGATGGAATCCAGGTTGTGTGCAGGCCAGGCAAGCGGTCACCACTGAGCTAAATCCCCAGCCATGCACATGTTTTAATGCATGTTATCAACCCCCAAATTACAGCATAAATAGTAAGCAAAACCCAGGAGTGGTAAAATGTCACCACATCTGTACAAAAATAACCTGCGGGTATCCAGAGGGAGCACAAAAGTAATGCTATGCAATGCAGACTGTACCTGGTGTGGCCGTGAAATTAGAAGATGGTGCTGGTGTGATCATCCCAAAATTAAAGCCAGTCCTAGCAAACGAAAAAAGAGAAGTTAATAAGGGTCAGACCCAGGGCACAGAACCGTCCTTTCCGTCTTCCCCTTTATGAGGCACTCATTCACAGTCTGGCCTCGGAGATCTGCAGCAGAGGGAACGCGTGCAGCTAAGGCACTCAGGCCGCTCCAAGGCCTCCAGCGGGGCAGGGGCAGGCGAGGTGTGAGGAGGCAGGAGGCGGGAGGCGGGAGTGGCCGGGAAGGTCTGGATGGATGGATGGAGAACTGTTCTGAGAAAAGCGATGCAGCAGCAGCAGCAGTGGGCACGCTGGAGTGTGCACCGTGAACGGAGGCTGCGCAGGTGGCCCAGCTCACGGAGAGGGGGCGTGGGGTCTGGAAAGATGAGCAGCTGCAATGGGGGAACCTCAGGCCCCAGCCCAAGGCTAAGGGCACAGTAGGACAGCGCGCAGCACTACAAGGGACGCTGTGGACTCCACAGGCGCACCGTCTGTGCGCGACAGAGCTCGGCACCCCAGGCTGCGAGACACAGAACTCTCCGGCTGCTTTCTGTCTCCGTCCTCTGCCTGTGCACGTTCTCTACACACTAGGGACAGGCCTCACAGCCCAGGGGGACACTCAGCACGCGTGTGGGCAAGAACAGACCCTCACGGCAACAGAAGCTCCAGGAGCAGACCCTAGACTAAATAAGAATTTTAAAATAGAAGGGGGCAAAGTGTAACAGATACAGTGCCCACAGACGCCCTCCTCAGGATGTGCCGAACGTTTTATCATATAAAGAGAACAAGCTTTCACAGTCGGCAGCCCTCAGTCGCGGTGAGGAAATTTACCTAGCCACCCTGCAAAGCTCCTGGCGCACTACAGTGGTAAGAGGAGCGACACCCCACCGAAAGCCGGGCAGACGCGTCGTTAGCCATCCTCGGCGCTGACCTACTCTGGAATTTGCTCCAAATTACCTCTGGGAAGTGAGAAACTAAACACACAATGGAGAAAGAATCTACGTAACACACATAGTTTCCTCCGCCCAGCCCAGTGCCCTTTTCTCCTCACACGTTCGGTGAAGGAGAAAGATGTTAAGGACAGGGAGAGGGACGGCAGTGAGGACACGAGCACTCGGCCTCCCACAGTGACAGATCTGCGGACAGGTTCCGACGGACGCCCAGCAGTGCAGCGTGTGTGCGTGTGACCCGGGAACTCCTGGTGTGGAAGGAACTCGTTTTGTGAGATAACTCAACGTCACCCATACAGCATCATTATCTTCAAAAAACATGAAAGAGACAGGTCCCCTCCATCCCTGCAAAACCCAGTTTCTTCCGCTGTGCTCTCGGCGCAGTAAAGCCAATGTGAACACCACACCCACTCTCTAAGAAGTGGCAAGACAGAGCCTGCAGTGTGACCAGGCAGATGACCCACAGAACATACCGCGGGGACCGCAGCTTAGGCCACCACGGAGCAGCTAACCCAGAGGCGCACAGTCTGACCGACACCAGAAGGCGCAGCCACCACCCTCATCCCCACAGCGCAGCCGGCAGGGGAGTGGAGCGTGAGGCGCCCTGGGAGGCTCGGTACTGACCCTGATGGTGCGAACGAGAAGGGCTTGGCGCCCTGCCCCGCGGCAAACGGCGTCGGGCTCACAGCTGCTTCCGCCTTGGCCGCCCCCGGCCCTGAAAGGAGGGAAAAGTCTGTTAGAAGCGCTGTTCGGGTTGGGAATTCCTGGTGCCCGGGAGCAGGTTCGCCCTCCTTTCCAGGCAGGCGTCACCGAGTGTCAAGTTGTGAAGCACAGCCGGTCTTAGTCCCTATGCTGCGGGGCAGTGTCTATAATCCCAAACCAACTGGTGCAGAGACACACACTGTACGTACGCCAAGGCTTCACAGCAGCCAAAACGAACACACACCGAAGGGTAAAACCGCAAGGTGAACGGGTCAACAGGCTAAACATTTCCGAGCAGTGACTTCTCCACGGACCACATCATACTCATCTCTTTATACTGTCTTCCACAGGTGCTTTTTAAGTTGTCAAATAGTTTTCTTTTTTTCTCTAAATTATAGAGGTGATACGTAACCACTATGGTTTGAAAGAAGTGTAAAGCTACAAGTCCAAATCACCCTACTCTCTGGGTCCGACTTCAGTTTGGGGTGTAGTCCTCTTTGTTCCTGTTGGTCTACTTTAAATGGGGGTAGATGACGACTATAGAAAAACTATATTTAAAAAGCTGCCCCCCAATAAAATACCCAAATCAAACCAAACCAAACAATTCTAAGGACGAAATATGCTTTCTTTAAATGAATATGGGGAGTGGTTATTAGTAAGAAAGAAAGAAAGCAAAGCAAAGGTGAAGCCCCTGGAACACAAGGAAGCGTGCGGCGCACACACGCCAGGCGGCCGTGCCCACCCTGGGAGCCATGAGAAGCAACCGCAGACGTCGGCCAAGCCCGGTAAAAACGGGGCCGCAGATGAGTCCTGGGAGGCCACTAAGTCGGGAAGGCAGCCCTGTCCCAGACCCGAAGGGGGACTGACTGGGTCTCTACTGTGACAGGGCCAGGGCAAGGGCAACAGCTTACAAGTCAGTATAAACGGGATGTGCCTATTTTTGTTCTGAAAACGATGAGGTAAACTGGAGACACACATAGACACTAAGGGGCCGGGGATGTACTCCGTGGCGCTGCGCCCGCCGCACAAGTGCAAGGTCCTGAGTTGGCTCCCTGGTACCAAAAGACTAAACAAAAGCGTTAAGGGTCATTATCACTGAAACATGGAATTTACAGGGGGCTTCCACCTCCTACAACACAAGTTTCCACAGCTGTGTGACAGCTTTCTTGCCTTTCTTCTCTCTCCTTCCTCTCCTTCTTTTCCTTTTGCATTAAGTACTAGGGACTGAACCTTGGCCTTGTGTGTGCGACACAAACCTCTTACCACTGAGCTAAATCACCAGCCTGATACGCACTAGTTTTATGATAGAAAAAGAATGAAAGTATTGCCATCACTAACTAATAAAAGAACTACTCAGAGGTTTTAGAAATGCTTAAAAAGAAACTTTCTACAAACTCAGGATTTTTCGAGGAAGAGTTCCTCCCAAAGGAAAAGTGTTGTGTTTTAAAACTGATTTCCCCGGCAGATGAAAGTGCAAACACTGGGCAGTGAAGGAGGGCCTGAGTTCTGTGAGGCCCACTGCTCGCCTGAGCACACGCGAAACAAAGTCACCAAGGTTTCCTTCTTAACTACAAGAGGACAAAGGGCTCACTCAACAATGCAGGCCTTGAAAGTCAGGAAAATGACCTTTCTAAGCTATCAGAGAAGCCACCAAGCTGCAAGCCAGAGCCCCTTGTGGCAAATGAGGTGCTGCAGAAATGGAGCCCACAGGGGACACCGAGGGGGACCCACGTGAAAGGCAGAGCTTCGGGCTGGCTCAGGTAAAGCCGACCACGGCCAGCACTCTCAGTTACTGTGAAGCTAATTTACCTAAGAACAATTCAGCTCGGGTGAACACTGAGCAAGGCTGTGAAACCATCAATCGTGTCATCCCGGCCTATTATACAATACCTGCCCCAAGACCTTCCACTAACAAATGGATTTTCTGTCTCAGTAACTTTTGAGCTGCCACTGTGAGCCAGGGAGTTTCTATTCCTTTTGGAGGCCACAGTGTAACACACCTAACCCTCCTCACAAGGCAGGGGAAGATGACACTATTGCTCCTTCCTAGGGAATCAACTTGAGGAGAGGTTTTCCCCAGCCATTCTGAAGTTTTTCAAACTCAACTCAAAATTTTAGAAGCTGCCAGAGGGCTGAGTAACATCCCAGAAATTCTCCACCAGCAGAGGACTTCCCAGTGTGGCCTCCGAACTTGATTTCCTGTGTCGACTGCCCCAGTGGCCCAGTGTAATAATCTCTATCAGGTGCTTCTGTCACTAAAATGAGAAGGCATGCTGACCTGGGGCTTTATCAGCAGGTGACAGCTGACTGGATGCTGGCATGGGCCCGGACGGCTTCAGGGAATTCATCAGGGATCCCTGTGAGAGGACACAAGATGTTTCTAGTAAACCACAAACCACGCTTGGACTAGCAGAGCACGTGAAATGTAAACATATAAACACAACTAAGCAAGCATAGTTCATTTGGCTTAATTATAAAAAAAGGGAAGAAAGCAAGTCAAATCAGAATTTAAGTCAAGCACCAAGATCACTGGGGAGGACACACGCTGGGCAAGTACCAGGCCTGCCCAGCTTGGGGCTGCTTCCCTGTGCCTAGCACAGTGCCTGGCCCACAAAAGGCACTGAGTACTTCGCAGCTGAACGAGTGCATGAGCGAAGGCAGGGAAGGGTTCCAGCTCTCCCTGTACTTATGACCGAGTTCTGTCTCCATCCAATGCTCCTGCACTCGTCAGCAACGACTTAGGCTTCTCCTGGCCGCCCTCCCAGTGAACCCCAAAACTTCCAGGGGCAAGTGCTAAAAACCACAAGGTGTAACTGAAAATATGGACGATCTTCACATTTTTACAGGAATTAATTGCAGTAAAAACACTGCCATCAACCCCCTTGCTTTGCACAGATGGACCCCACGTCCTCGCCACTTCCCGTGGCAGCCCTGGGGTCCTCCTTCCCGAGGGCCTCTAGCTGCGCTGTCCTGGCTGCCTCAGTGTCCTGCATCCATCCAAGACATTTCCTTTCACGGTCATTCTGGCTTTGGGGAGGAACGAGAAGTCACACGGCACCAGATCCAGTGCAGAAGGTGAGCATTTCACTGCTCCAGCTTTCGGCTAGATGGTGCTCAGCAGCAACGTTCACTGAGTTTTTAATCACACTTCTTAAGGACATGAAATAGGACTTCTAGAGTACATCAGAAAGTGCCACGAACAACGGCATCAGTGTGTATTGAGGGGGGCTAATGGCAGTGTCTTTTACAGTAATAACTTTTTAAAAAAGCAAACATTCACCTTATAACTGCTTGTACTTCCTAAATGCCACTTTAGGTCCCAGCAAACTGAGGGGCAGGACCATGACTGAGAACTCACAATGGGCGAGCGCTGATGTCCACTCTCAAACTCTGATCTCAGACAATTTAGAGCTGCTCGGCGGATGGGAGAGTGGCTGAGACACCAGGTTCCACTCTGCCCGCCTCCCAGCAACCTCCTATTATTGTCTCTGCACTGTTTGCAACGTGACCTATTTTTGCAGAGGACACCACTGAGCAGTCAAGTGCCTGACAGCAGACAGGATATCCGTGAGATCAGGCAGAGTTGGGGAGACAGACTGCGGGACAGAACCAGAATGTGGCCTCAGACCCGCACTGAGCAGTGCAGTGAGCATAGCAGGGGCAGGCGGGAGCCAGCGGCCTCAGGCCCAGCGCCAGCTCCGCGTTACTAATCGGGTGAGCCTGCGTTGGTCACCTGGCTGGGCTGCGTCTTCAGGGCGACACAGAGATGCCTACTGCCTGGGGCAGGCATCCGGCTTGGCCAAGATGGAGCTCAGTGAGGTAAACTTGAGGAGCCAACCGCAGTGCGGTCCTCGCTGACTGCTCTAGTTCACCGTAAGCACGAGGGAAGGGTCATGACACTCCTTTGGGTTCATTTCAGCGAGAGTGGACCTCAGACAGTCCTCTGCTGAAAGGAGGCGCATGCAGGACTGCTGATGCCACCGCCGACCATACCTGCTTGGCGTGGCTGCCAGCCACCGGGGCCAGCATGGGGTGGGGCGTTTTGGCAGTGGAGTACAGCACCGGAGACCTGGAAAACACAAAGCGTCCACTCAGAGCGGGCAGCTCAAGGAGCACGTTCATCCCGGGTCAGCTACAGCAACTCAGAAGCAGCCCCAAGCAAACTCATCTGACATCTTGCTGACAGCAGAATAAACTTTTAAGTAAAATTTGGGGTTTTAGTACAAAAGTCAAAGTGGTAACCCTAACATTAACGTCCTTCCTGTAAGGGAGGAGATGTACTTGGAACGTGGGGCTTCCTTGTCTGGAGTGTGCCTCCCCTTCGGTCCAGGTCTCGTTTCCAGCCCTGGAAGAAACGCTCAGGGGCCCTGTGTCCTCTTGCAGCTCAAGGGAGAGGCCCAAAGGACGGACAGCTGTTGGCCACCCGCACCCGTGTCCGCCGAGACCCAGGGCCCTGCGTCCACCACACCGTGCTGCAGAGTGGGCAGAAAGACTGCCCACGTCACCATGCACACTGCCGCCGCACTGCGACCCCACCAGCCGAGGTTCACGCAGGGGAAGCCGCCTGACTGCAGCACGCACAGAAGGTCTTGGCTCTGTCCTCGGTGCAGAGCTGCCCTGACGGGTATGGAGAGCAGGAGCAGCTGTAGGGTGGGCTTTATTTTTCATATCTTTTTCTAATTTAGGGAGAATTAATAATTTTCTACCAAAAGATTAACCAGGGGGTTGGCGTGGTGGTACAGGTTTGTCATCCCAGGACTCTGGGAGGGTGAGGCAGGAGGATCAAGTCTGACAATGCAGAACTTAGTAAGAACCTATCTCAAACAACACCAAGAGGAAGGGAGGCGGCCAGGGTGAGAGCCTGGAGTTCTGTCCGCAGCCCTTAGACAAAAGCCAAACGACTTTAAAGAAGATAGACAAGCCTATGCCTCACCAAGGAATAGGAAAATCATCGCAGGCACGTGAGGAGTAACACAGGAGCCCTCCCAACAGACTCATCAGGTGGAGAAGGAAAGCAGCCATCTGCAATGACGCCACATGCAGCCGGTCTCTCCCAGAGCTGGAAGCAGCCGTACAGCTGCCTCTCCTGGAGGGATGCACCCCGTTGCCCTGAGAGCAGCTCTTCGAGCCCCCCCCCCCGCAGGAGAGGATGGCGCAAACAATACCTCTTCCGGGACCCGGGCAGCCCCTGGACAGACAGAGCAGCCTTGCTGGAGAAACATTCTGAGCCCACGGGCATCACAAGGGAAAACAGACTTATGTTTTCTCAGAGACAAACAAAAAGGGAACTGGAAAGAAAAGTAGCCATTTATAATTTTTATATGCCAAGTTTAGCTATGACATGATGGTAAATGAAGTGGGCAAGCATTCGAATGAGTACAGTGATTGTTTGTTTACTCTGATTATGCTGCAGATCTTTTGGGAACCCTGAATCCCCAAGCACAGAATCGGGGCTTGCAGTACCTACACCCTGGGCACGTGACGCCCTGCAGAGCAGCCAGAGGCAGACCAGTGGTGCTGCATCCGAGAGGAGCAGTCTGCTCCCAAGTAAATTCATTCCAAGGTGGGGTTCCATCGCAGCCAAATGGAAATCAACGTCCAGAAATGCTCACAAGAGGGAAAGCCGAATTCGATCATTGTGCTTTGGAGGTCAATGAATTACAGCCTTCTAGTAAGATGGGCCTGAGAGATACCAGAAATTCACCTGACGCTCTGTTCTACAATGAAAACAAAACTCAAGAACT